GAAGCACCGTCGCCCTTTAGATGGAACACACAGCACTGTTTTACTGGCATCACGTTTTATTCCAGTGTTTTCAGCGTCTGATCACATTCTGTAAGTAGCCAAATTTAGAAAGCTCGTTAATAAAGTTGTAATTCTGTCAATTCATTTCTCCTCCCCTCAGCCTCAGCTTACAGATAAAGCAGATATGTTTTACAGTGTCGAATATTTGTCTTTACAATTATACCCTCCCTTCTCTCTTGCCTCCTTTTTTCTAGCATGGACAAGCTGCACCTGATGCTGACAGAGCTCTGCTCCTGCTACAGTCTTTGCGGTGACTTTGTTGTTTTCGACCACATCGTCGTCCCTACAGAGTTCCTCATATCTCAACTTGAGACGCGTCTTTCTGAGTATGTGGGGATACGGGTTTTTTTATACTAATCAAATGCTCATAATTGCTTTAATTGCAAAAAAAGATCTAATGTTAATTTATGCTATGCAAATGTAACATTGTGCATATCAACACAATGCTCACTGTATGTTCAATTTAGCTGAATGGGAGCTGCATGCATTCTGTTTAGAAGTGTCACCTCTATTATGAATAGAGCTTGCAGAAGTATTTAAACCTAAAAAGTAATAATTTTTTTGCAGGACTTGACAGAGAGCAGAAAAAAACAGCAAGCCTTTGATTTTTCATTTGGCTCTTGTAAAGTGGCTTCTCCATCTCTGTAGTGAGCCCCACTTTCTGTGTTCTACCAGCTTAAAATCTCAGAAGAGATTCATCATGTCCTTTGCTCTGTATCATTTCAGTGCTTATTGCTGTTTAGATTAGATTTTGGTACCAGGGTAACCCAGTGTTTCTCTGTATATACTTCCCTCAGTCTCGCTGCCATAGCTGATGATTATCAGCGCACTTGACGATTGGCATGCTTTCAGTGATTCGTTGAAACTGTAAATAACGTCAAGGACAGAAAGTGAGAGAATGAAGGTCTTACAAAAAGAGAAAACTGACAGCGAAGCCCTGGAGCAGCGCCGAGCCACCATGGCTCGTTTAACCCATTTTAAGGTCCCATCTGTCCACCCTCAGTCCACTTCAGCCCAATGACAAGTGACGTTGGTTAAACATGTTTCTCCAGAATCATCGTGAGAATGACCAATTACAACCAGACCACCCAGGAGATTACCCGTCCCTCTGACCTCCTGGCAGGGATAGGAGCCTATGTAGCCAATCTGCACAGCCTCTCGTGCTACATCAACGTGGACGTCACCCGGCTGGTGAAGAGCGTACTGCTGCAGCAAACTCAGCCGCTCGACTCCCACGGAGGGCAGACTATTACAACTCTCTACACAAACTGGTCCGTCTCATGTATAGGTGTATCTACTGTACTTAAACACACATATCAAAATACAGTGATTCAAGTATAAAGTATATTCATTCCTGGACACTTGTAGGAAATGCATTACAAACAGAAACCCACTTTGCATACAGGTAAATCCTGCTGAGCTTCTATCACTTACCATATCTTCCTTGTTTTGTGGGTTTTCCTTTTATCCAGGTTCCTCGAGAGTCTTCTGCGCCAGGCTAGCAACTCCCTCATCGTCCACTGTCCTACGCTGCACTGCTTTATGAGCCAGGTTACTGACACTGAACCAAGTTTCAGAGCAGAGGAGTTCTCAGATATATCAGGTCAGCCTGGAGTTTGATTATTATTAGGGATGCACCGATACCGATACTGGTATCGGGTATCG